TCTTTCTGAGGTGATTCTTGATCGCACGCTTGCGGAACTTGAATGTACGCTTCTAGAACGTGTGGCTGCGCTGGCTGCTTCGTCTGCCAAGCCCCGATCCCTACATGACTGGGAATCCAGTGCTAAACGACTGGGCGGTTTTGTCTTTGGAAGCCCTAGCTGTGCGAGGATCGAGGTTATGATGTGGACGTTGTCTCTGGTTGACTGTGTTGCAGCATGCATAGCTGTTTTCGAGTCATGTCAATTATGACTGGCTGTGTTGTGTTGCAGCGTGTTGTAGGCCTTTGAGATTGCTACCAACTCTGTTTATAAAGGGTGGAAGCAGTCATTAGAAAGTCTTCATTGGAGGGTCTGACCTTGGGTGTAGAAGAGCCGCTCCGGATGTATGATGTTTGGGTCCACCGAGCCGTCTGTAAATGAATGCTGCATCAGCCGGTGTCTCGGTAGCTATGGCTTCCAGAGTTATTCTTTTGAGGTCCTCCTTCTGGAGTTGGCTTTACTATACCCAGGTCGGTAATTTTGAGTGTGGCTGGTGGAGGCTCCATGGTGGAGGAACAACGTAACCTGTCCGTGTCTTAGGTTGTTCTTGACGAGTGTTTCTGCTTGCAGTTGCGGATGACCTCCTTGCCTCATTACAGGGTGGCTCCTCGCACTCTGTGGTCGGTGAGGGAGGCACTGATTCGCATTTGGCATCATGGGCTTATCTGATCTACAGATTTTGGCAGAGACCGGCTGCCTGCTTGACTCGTACTGCCAGGGTGGTAGTTCAATTTCTATTTGCAAATTGCAAATTCTGGTCCCACATGGGTGCTCGAGCATGGTCCTGAGAGCATTATTTTGGATAACTTTGCTCAGCTATCTGGTCTTCTCTCAGTCCACCAAGTGCTGGAGCACCACCAGCGATCTGATGGCGGCCGTGTAGTAGGCTTTGAGCACATGAAGGTTTGCTCCTGGTTTAACAGTGAACCTCATTATATTGTGTCTGCTCTTCGTCCTGTACCTAGATACTCGATTTGACTTGAAAGTGAGTTTCTGGTCGAACCAGATTCCAAGACACTGGTGGGCGTTGGGTCCAGACTACCGGCGTGTTTGTAGGAGAGCATCTTGTCTGGGTATTAATAGAATGCTTTCGACTTAGCTGGATTTATCTTGAGTCAAGTTTGTTGCACTCTTCTTTATTAGTTGATTTTGTATGTTCATATACATACTCTTTGCTATGAGCTGTAAGTCGTCTGCCGCATAGAGCTTGGCTGTTTAATCAAAGGTCTGACAAGATTTTTCCATCATGACATTGAACAGCGTGGACTGGGATGCCACCTTTGGGTTCGTTTCACGGACCTAGCAACTTGGTTGCTCCTGAAAGCGTACTCTGCTTCTCTGTGTGGGTAGTTTGGATAATAGCAACCTTCCTGACCTTTTTTCAGCAAGCGTAGTTATAATGGCCAGATCGATTTGCTAGTTCGAAGAATACTCCGTCGAAGACCACCAGAGCTGTTTGTTGTCCCCAACGCAGGTACCCGACGATGTTGTATTCTCAGCGGTGTTCTCGGTACAGCCAAAATTGGACAGTCATGGGCTCTACCTTCCACTTGAGCGGTTGAAACCCATTCTTTCCCGTCTTTATCTGCAACTGAAAAAGAGATGGTCTCCAGTTTATTCTGGTTCTCTGGGCTACAGAATGGGCACTGCATATCTGCTTCATCCAGTGAAAATCTTTACTAACATATGGCTTCAAACACAGCAAAACCTCGTGTCCCTTACCGGCATAAGAGAAAATCATAGAAGATTATCATATCAGCCCTGGTGCTGCATCCCGCCGTTTTATCGACTTCTGGGTTCTTGCGGTTAGACAATGTCGGTGTCATCTTCACTGTTTAAAACCTCTTCCGACACTTCTCAGAGTCGGCCTCATCACAACGCCATGTTCCTCCTCATATCCTCTGAGGTTTTTTCATATATAATTAGAAACAGTCTTGCAAATCTCTCAGCTTCTCTTCTGCTGGGATGAGTTAGTGGTGTTGGTGTTTGAATGCCCTTGGTCTAGACTTTATCTTGCAAAGGAATTTATTTAGTGATTCAAAGACTTAACTAACTGCATTTTCTTCCTTCCTTCTTAACTATGACAGGAGATGTCTGTTTCTTCATCAGGATCATCATAGTTTCTTGGCTGTGTTCACTCTATGATTCTTGCCCTGGGACCATTGATGCCAACGTCGTCATTATATATCTTGATGTGGGTTTTTATTTTGGGATAGCCTCTTCACCGCTTAATTGAAACCTCAAACCAATTGTTGGTGAGGAAGTTGTCTTAATCACAGGTGCTGTCTTCATGTTGCATAACAGTGTTTCTTCAATCTGCAGTATTGTATCTCCATCTCTGAAGGTGGGTTGGGGTTACCTTCAATGTTAACCAAAGTGGTCCTTCAGGTCAGCAGGTGCCTTGGGAGGCTGTAGTCACTAGGGCGAAGATTCAGATTTAGCCTTCCTCCTCTCTAATGTGGTGGGCTCTCCAGTGAGCAGGAGGCTGAAATCTCAGGTGTAATGTCTTGAAAGGGTGTGATAAAATGCTTCATTTATGTAGGAGACTTACAAGCTTAGGAAGGGATGATGTGCATTGAAATCCTCCTATGGTGTGGCGTGGTCAGCAGCTGGTGATAAGTGAGTCACCTCAAGTGAGCCCTTAGGTTCTTGTGAATGTTGTAGGGCAGGTTCATGGGTAGTTCTTGGAGGTTGCTTTGGCTTGACCTGGCTGTCTCAATGTTTTTATGAAATTGCTGCATGATCTCTGAGGAAGATATGCTTGATAAACCAAGATCATCTCTCTTGGTGCATTCCTGCATGAAATGCCTCCTGTATGTCTTGTAACCATGGTTTGACAGTGGTATTTCTTGCAGAAGTCATTTTCTTGTAGCAGTATAGTATCATGAAAGCTTGTGTAGCTCTTTGTTTTCTTGCAGGAGAGATGTTTCTTGTTTTTGATGCCTAATTATTTAATAACAAGGATGTTTAGGGTCTTCGATGTTCCACTGTTTTCATCAAGGGACTTCTGGTTTGGTCCTCTAGTGGATATGTTCAGAATCGATTGACTAGATCAGGTTTATATCTTCATGATATGCATTTTTTGCCCTTCTGGGTCGTGGTTCCGGTTCAGGGGATGACTTTATCCAATTTCTTTCAGGCTGTCATTATCACTCTTCGTTCCCTAGGTAGCCTTTTTGGGTGTGAAATTATCAGCTCATCTCCTCATTGTGGGGACTGTAATCCCTCTGAGAATTGTGTGGAGCACAGCAACGACATGGTGCTCCCATAGTGTTTGGAGCTGTGTGGGCTGGATCTTGTATTGGCATTGATAAACTAGGCCCTCACGCAGAAGGTTGTCAGTACCTTAGCTTCAAGTCTGATGATATGTCCATTCCTTCGGGTGCCTTGGTGCTTGTTTTGCCTTTTTCTGTTGATTGTGGTTGTCCTGCTTGGGTGGCTGGTGTGTAAATAGTGAAATGAAACTGGCTACATTTTGGAGTGTAGACAACAGGGAGGTTGACACATTTGTTTTTTGCCTCTGGGTTCCTCACACGAAAGGTGCCTAGTGGGAGCTGGTGTGCAGGCAGTGGGGGCCGGTCTCTTGCTGGTCAGGGTTTGAATTTCACCCTGTCCCTTTCAGGAGCATCCAGGGTTCAGGTGTGGTGTTTGCCCCGCAGTTAAAAAGCACACTTAGAACATATTTTCCCCCATTTTCTACTTGGTGAGGCAGTGTGTGCCGTGCTTCTATGTAGACTCATAGATTTCACATCGTGCGCTTGCATGTCTGATGGTTTTCTGTTCTGGCATCTGAAGCACCATGACTCCGGGACAGAAGGAGCCTCCTCTTGGCCAGATCCCCAGGGGGAGACACGGTGTCTTATTTTTATTTTGTGGTGACCGTCTTGTCGGACAGGGGAGGCATCTCAGCTCTTGGATCTTCAGGTGAGGTTCTCCGGGGTTCGAGGGTAGCTCCTTTGCGGGTACCAGAGGACTACCGACTTCATCGGATTTCTGGGCAGGTCTAGCTTGGTTGATGCAACGATGGTGGAATAAAGTGTCGAATTGGTCGGCGGTCCTTGCTGGGGTGAACGTCATCTCCTGGGTTACTGAAACTTGGCCAGTGGATTCGGATTTCTCCATCTCTTGATGGCATATGTCGTTTTCATTCCATTCGAGATCCGGAATTTTGGCGGTGTCGTTGGGGGTGAAACCAGGTGGTGGTGATGGGTGCCTTTTAAGGCTGCTTGAGCAGCCTTCGTTTCCAAGCACGTGGGCGTTTTTGTATTTAAGCCTTCGTCAGTTGCGCCATCTTCATTGGTGCTTTCTGGTGGTGAGGTGGAGTTTTTGGAGGCGAGTGGCAGTGGAGGATGATGTTGTTATTGCTTTTCAGGGCTTCGTGGAAGGCCCGCGGCGCTGATCCTTTCTCTGTCGCGGAGCCTGTCGTGGTTCGGGTCGTCGGGATAAGCTGGATTCAGGCGGGGGTCGCGGTTGAGTGTATGCACTCCGCAACCGGTGGTTAAATGGTGTTTTTCCGACCTACCTATTCCGGTTGAGTAATGTAGGCATATTGTTGGTGGTCAGTTCGACTTCTCTCTCAGGAGCATTGACTATGACTGCTCACTTATAGGCAATAGACTAAGTGTGCCTGTTAAGGGAAGGATAGGATTTTACCCTCTTTCCAGGTGGACCAACGATCACATTTTCCTGGAAAGAATGGGCTGGACGGTTTCTTGCTCAACCCCTTTCTGTGTTCTGAAAATCTCCTGGGAGGTGTTGAGCAGATTCTGGGGACCACTGGAGACAGTACTTTTGAGGTGCAGGTCCCCAGGCCAGAGTGAAAAAAAAGGAAAAATAGCAGTAGAGGAAAAGAGCTCCAAGCCCCGCGAGATATCGCTTCTGCTGCTCTCAGCTGGAGTGTGGGTCACTCCACCACCAGTGGGAGGGCAACTACTGATCGATAAACCAGAAATTGCATGAAGATGTTGTCTGGCAGTATAGTGGTGGATCGTCAGGTCAGGAAGATGGCCAACAACGGCAGCAGAGGTGGTCTTCACAGTTCAGGTCTAGCAGTACAACTGCTCAAGGGATCAAGAACACAGGTGTGAAATGTAGAGCCAATCACCGTACAGTGAGAGGACAGGAGTGCTAATCCCTAGCTGAGATCTTCAGCTCGAACTCACTCAACAATACTACTCCTTCGTCCGCACCTGGGGCTTGAATCCTGTGCAGCGTCGCTGGCTGTAAGTAATTGGCTGGTAAGAAAGCGAACATGATCATCAGTCAGCAGTTGGGAAGCATCCTCATAATCTCCCCACCTCCTCCAGGGAACAGGGCGAGATAAACACCAATAAGAAAAAGATAAGCAATCTGGTTGGTGGCGTTTCTACTCCCTACTATATTTCCAGTTTCACCACTTTTCCTTCAACTCCTATGTCTTTCACCTCTTAACCTAAAGACTTCGTATCGTATCGGCACGCTTAGAAACTTTAGTTATTTGGCAGGTTGTATCCCATAACTGATACATACAGAACATGAGTCTTAGCCTTACGACTCACAGCCGCTCGGGTGACGACTCCATCAATAAACCCACGAAACCTGTGTGGGGCTGGGGGGAAAGGAGGTCCACGACAACGCCAGGGGTCCCGACAGCAGCAGATTACGACAGCAGCAGGGTCTACGACAACAGCAGGGTCTGACAGCAGCAGGTCACCAACAGCAAGGGTCCATGACCATGACAGCAACAAGGTCACCTAACAACAGAGATCCAAGCAACCACCCCAACAGGGTCCCAAAGACAACAACAAAGGGTCCACGACAGCAGCAGGGTCCAAGACAACAACAGGGTCACGACAACAACAGGGTCCCGACAACAGCAAGTCCAAAGACAAGCAAAGTCCAAGACAACAGCAAGATCCACACACAACAGCAAGACAACAACAAGGTCCACAGCAGCAACAGGGTCCAAGACAACCCAACAAGGTCCCACGACAGCAGCAGGGTCCCGACAGCAGCAGGGTCCCCAGACAACAACAAGGTCCCCAACAGCAGCAGGGTCCCCAAATCAGCAACGGTCCGAGCAACAGCAAAGTCCCAAACAGCAGCAGGGTCCACGACAACAGCAAGGTCCAGACAGCAAGGGTCAACAGCAGCAAGTCCCTGACCATAGCAAGATCCCACGACAGCAGCAGCAAGGGTCCAACAACAGGGGTCCGACAGCAGCAAGTCCACAACAACAACAGGGTCCAAGACAGCAGCAGGGTCCCCAACAACAGCAGGGTCCAACAGCAACTGAGGTCCAACAACAGCAAGTCCACAGCAAGTCCACAACAACAACAAGATACCACAAGCACAGGGTCACACAAACAGCAAGGTCCACCAACCAGAGGGTCCACGACAACCCAACAGGGTCCACAGCAGCAAGGGTCGACAGGCAGTCCACGACAGCAGCAGGGTCCATGACAGCAGCAGGGTCCACGACAGCAGGAATACGACAGCAGCAGGGTCCACGACAGCAACCAGGGTCCAACGACATGAGTCCCTGACAACAGGTCCCGACAGCAACCAGTCCCAGACAGCAACAGAGATTCCAACAACAGCAGGAACGAACAACTGCTTAGAATCCGACATGGCAGGAGTCCAGACAGCAACAGGGTCTCAGACAGCAGCAGCAGGGTCCAAGTAGCAGGTCCCAGACAACAGCAAGTCCAAGACAGCAGCAGGGTCCACAACAGCAGCAGGGTCCCAGACAGCAGCAGAATTGACAACAGCAAGATCCAACAACAGGAGTCCACGACAGCAGCCAGGGTCCAAAGACAGCAGCAGAAAATTCTGACAGCAGCAAGGTCCACGACAGCAGCAGGGACCCAAGACAACACCAAGGTCCGACAGCAGCACTGGGGTCCACGACAGCAGCAGGTCCATGACCTCAACAGGGTCCACAACAGCAGGTCCAGCAGCACAGGGTCCGCACAACAGCAGGTCCACAAGACAGCATGAGGTCCGACCTCTAACAACATGAGGGTCCAAACAGCAGGTCCAAGACAGCAACAAGTCCACGACAACAGGGTCCAAGACAACACAAGACCACGACAGCAGCAGGGTCCAAGAACAGCATGAGTTAAGGACGCCAGCAAGAGTCTGACAGGAGCAATGGATACCTCAGGATGAAGGTGCTTAAATGTTGCTGCAAGTGGTAACTGCGGGCAGACTGGTGAAGGCGTAGTTTGTTAGGGGTAATGCTGGGCTGGAGGCCCAACGGATAAGGTGGCTGGCTTCACTCAGTCTATGCTGATGCTGTCGTGTCTGTCATTGTGGATGATCGCCAGGAACTTCGCTGGAAGGGTCCATCGTAGGGGCGTTGGAGTGGGTCGCGGTGAGCATCACGCCTGACGAAGACATACTCGGCATTGAGTAGTGCAGGAGGGATGTGTTCAGGGCGCCGAGAAGGCTGGCGTGGGGCAGTAGCTCTGAATGCAGAAACTGTTTGTTGTAGTTTTTGGAGTAGGTCGTGACGGACGGCAGGAGTGGGGTGGTCGAGGTCAGGAGGGAGTGAGAAGTCTCCAGGTAGGCGAAGGGGCTCGCCTAGGGTGAGATCTGCTGGGCTGCAGTCCATGTCCTCCTTGTGTGATGCACGGATGCCGAGGAGCACTAAGGGTAGAGCATCCTTCCAGCTGTAGGGGTCGTGCTGTGCCTTGATTGCGTCCTTCAGCTGCCGGTGAAACCGCTCTACCATGCCGTTGGATTGAGGGTGGTAAGCAGTAGTGCGGCGCCTAGAAGTGCCGAGGAACTGTAGGAGACTGTGCCAGAGTTGTGACTCAAACTGGGCTCCTCAGTCAGTGATGACAGTCGTGGGACGACCGAAACGGGAGACCCAACCGGACAGGAAGGCACGGACGGCAGACTCTGCTGTAGCATTGGGTATGGGAATGGCTTCTGTCCACCTGGTGAAACGGTCATTGCAGGTGAAGATGTAGGTGCTGCCGCAGGATGATGGAAAAGGTCCCATGATGTCGAGGTGCACTACCTGGAAGCGTCCTTTGGGTATAGAAAAGGTTTCTAAGGGAGCCCTCGTGTGTCGATGTATTTTAGAGGACTGGCAGGCCAGGAACTGGGCAGCCCATTTCCTAGTATCGGCCTTGATGCCAGGCCAGACGAAACGTTGCGTGAGGAGGCGCTGGGAGGCCCGCACACCTGGGTGGCTGAGACCATGGATGCGGTTGAAGAAAGCGCGGCGGTGGACTTGAGGCATGACTGGTCTAGGCTGCCCACAGGACATGTCGCACCACAACTTGATGTTCGTACCAGGAACAGGGAGTTCTTGAAGGGCGAGACCTGAGGGAGATGTCTTGTATGCTGCAAGGTCTTCGTCGTTCTCTTGAGCCATGGCGAGCAGTCTGTAATCCATGGGTGGAGATGAGGGAAGAATGCTGGATATACAACGAGAGAGGGTGTCAGCGATCTCGTTGTGGCTGCGTTTTATGTGTTGGATGTCGCTGGTGAACTCCGAAATGTAAGCCAAGTGGCAAAAGACATGAAGTGTATGTGACTGGGAGGCTGAAGCGAAGGCGTGGAAGAGGGGCTTGTGATTGGTGAAGATGGTGAACTGACGGGCCTCGAGGAAGTGCTGGAAATGCTTGACAGCAGGGTATACGGCCTGGAGTTCTCGATCGAAGGAGCTGTACTTGAGGTGTGGTGGTTGAAGCTGGTGTGAGAAGAAGGCAATGGGCATGAGAATTCCGTTGTTCTCCTGTTGTAAGACGGCACCCACGGCATTAGAAGACGCGTCTGTTGTGAGAGTGGTCTGGGCGTTGGGTGCAGGGTGAGCCAGGAGGGTAAGGCTTGATAGTCGTGAATGCCGTAACAGCCTTTTGAGTCCAAATGAGAGGCTTGTGAGACGTCCTTGGGAGTCCCTTGAGAAGATCGTAGAGGGGGACTAGGACGGTAGCAGAGTGGGCAATGAAGCGGTGGTAGTAATTGACTAAACCCAGGAATTCTCGAAGTTTCTTCGCCATTTCAGGTTTGGGGAACTCCCTAATGGCAGTTACCTTCTGTGGTAGGGGTTGGATGCCGCTCGGCGAGACTCTGTGACCGAGGAAGTCGATGGACGAGGCTCCGGAGACGCACTTGGTAGGGTGAACTTTCATGTTGTTGGTCTGCAGGCATTGGAGAAAGGAGCAGTAGGTGGTGATGATGCTCGGCAGGTGTCGTAGATGCGACGAGAATGTTGTCTATGTAGACAGCGGCAAAATCGAGGTCGCGAAGCATGTGGTCCATGTACCCCTGGAAGGTCTGGGCTGCACTGCGTAGACCAAAACTCATGAAGGCATACTCGAAGAGACAAACGGAGTGGTGAGGACTGTCTTCTGGGTATCTGCAGGTGCTACTGGGATATGGTGGAAGGTACGCTCCAAGTCGATCTTCGAGAAGATGGTCTTGCCATGGAGTTTGTGGTGGAAGTCCTGGACATGCGGGATAGGGTACCTGTCAGGTTTGGTGATGAGGTTCAGAGCTCTGTAGTCACCACATACCCTCCAGTCGTTGGATGATGGTTTTTGAACCATGTGAAGAGGCGATGCCCAGGGACTCTCTGAAGGTCGAATGATGCCGTCTTGCAGGAGTCTGTTGAATTATGCCTTGGCTGCGTTCAGGAGCTCAGGGTGAAGGCGGCGAGGGCGTGAGAAGACTGGAGGTCCTTTAGTTTCGATGTGGTGGAAAATTCCCGACGTAGGTGGTGGTGGTGGTGGAGAGACTCGGGGTGAGAAAAGTTCCTTGAACTTCTCGAGCAGGGGGGAGAACTCGTTGGGCGGCGAGAGGCAGGTGATAGTGTCAGTGTGTGCGGCACGTGTACCCTGGATTGTGTGTGCTGTAGGCTCATGGATGAGGCAGAGGTGGCTTGGGTCGACGCTGAGCTTGTGGAAGGTGAGGAAATCGAAGCCAAGGATGGGTTGAGAGACATCTGCCACCACGAATGACCAGCGCAGAGTCTTGGGAAGACCGAAGTCTAAGGCGAGGATGTGTGCGTCGTAGGAGGCGATGGGGGTACCATTGGCAGCGAACAAGTCATAAGAGGGTTGCTTTGATGTGTCTTGCAGTGAGGGAGGGATGATGCTGACCAATGAACCTGTGACGATGAGGAATTTCATGACGGAGGTGCGGTCGGTGATGTGCAGTAGTGAGACGCCTGAAGTGACAGAGGCTGTGGCGTCTACCAATCCCCGTTGATGCCGTTTCCCGAGTAGTTGCAGGGGGGCTCACAATGTCTAGCATTGGTGCCGAAACGTCTGTGGTACCAACAGAGGGTAGGTCTGCTGTGCTGGGAGCTGGCGGCGGTTTCCGGGGCAGGAAGAAGACGTCGGGGTTTGTAGGACAAGGTGCGTGGGGCAGGAACAGGCCCAGCAGCAGGCGTGGAGGAGCAGAGTTGCTCAATGGTATCCATCCTGCGGTGTAGAGACTGCAGCAGGTCCCTGATGTCTTGTGAGGTATTGCTCGAGTGAGGGCTTTGATCCGGTTTACAAGATCGGAAGTAAGTACTGGTGTGGCCGTTGGGTTGTCCGCGGCGGCGAGGCGCGCAGCAGTGCAATCGTTGATTATTCTGTCTGCCAAGGTTGCGTAGATATCTTGTGTCATAGAGTAATCTACTGAGGACAGGGTGATGCGAACTTGTGTGGGGAGCTTCTGTGCGTGAAGCTGGCACAGGACAGTGTCGGGAAGCCTGTCCATGTGCCGGGAGTTCAGTCTACACAGCTCGTCCCAGAGACGTGCAGGCGTTGAGTTGCCGAGGGAGAGAGAGGATAGGTTTTGCAGGAGACTGGTGTGGGACCGCTGGTAACTCGTCTTTAGAGCATCCCGCAGGGCAACGAATTTGTTGTCAGCTGGAGGGTTGGTAATGGTCTCTAAGACTTGGGTGGCGACTTCCGTGGGCAAGGAACAGAGCAGGGCGACGTACTTTTGCTAGTCATTAGCCTCTGAGCCGCTGAGGGCTGCCTCCACATGAATTAACCAGTCCTCGATGTTGTGGTTGAAGGTTGGTAGAGAAATCCATCTGTCATCCATTTTTGCAAGAGTGCGTCACACCTGTTAGGTAAGGATGAGGGATGGGTGCTTGCTCCGACCCCCTTCCGTGTTCACAATCTCCTAGGAGGGAGGTGAACAGTTACAGGGGGGATTTCAGGACGAATACACTTTTTGAGGGTGCAGGTCCCTAGGCCAGAGCGAAAAACAAAAACAAAAGAAAAATAGGAGTAGGCAAAAGAGCTCAAACCAAGTCTGGATTATCGCCCAATAGTTGTTCTCCAGCTGTGATGTGGGTCACTCACACCACCAGCGGGGAGAACACACTAATGCGTTATAAACCTAACGGTTGTGAGATGGTGTTGGAGCTGTAGTGGTGGAGTGGCAGGGGGTCCTGGCAGGGCAGATGGCCCACAGTAGCAGCAGACAGGGCGGTCCTCACAGCTCCAGGAGTAAGGCAGCAGAGAGGGCGTGGTGTTCACATATGTACGTACATTTAAGATATCTCACACTCAGGATGGAGGTAGAATAGAAACTCACAATGCGTTTTCTGTATATATATATATATATTGTATGTACAGTGCAGTGCTAAGGAGTTGCTGTGTGGTGAGAAGCTTGCTCAGAGGTCCTGTTGGGTGAGGAGCTTTCTGAGTGAGCTAGTTGGTGAGGCGCTTGTTGAGAGGTCTTGCTGGTCCAGGAGAGTCGAGTAGAATGGCTCCGATCGATGGATGAAGTAAAGTGTGAAGAAATATTGATGCAGATGCGTAGATTGGTGGTGCGAGGAAATTGGAAAATAGTAGTAGAATGCTAGGTCTTGGGGCTCAACCCAAGTGCTTCTGTTATCTCATGTTTGTGTTTAGCTAAATTTCGTCTTAGGTGTTATATTTATGTCAGGTGTTTGTATGTTTAGCAACTGTTGCAATTTTGCCTTTCATGAAAATGGCTCCGCAGCCAGGCCTACGCGTATTTATACGGCTGCTCAGGAT